CATCAGTGATGAGAGAGAAACATTGATCGGCCGCCTCCTGCATATCCTCCACTGCGGATTGAGCCTGCAACCCAGCCATGTGCCCCTGACCAGAATCGAACCCGGAACCCTTCAGTCCACAGGTCAATGCTCTATCCACTGAGCCAAACCAGCTAGGGCCCTTCTAGCTCTTTCAGCTCCTGATATATATTTGAGGTATAATTCACATACTATAAAATTCACCTTTTTTTTTGCCACTTATTTTATTGGATATCTTGTGCCAGACACATAGCCGCGTTATTTATACATAGCTAAGATCTGGAAACAGCCCAAGTGCCCATCAGTAGATGAGTGGATAAAAAAAACTATGGTACATTTACACCATGGAATACTATGCAGCAGTAAAAAAGGAAATCTTACCCTTTGTGACCACATTGATGAACATGGGGAGTATTATGCTCAGTGAAGTAAGCCAATCAGAGAAAGGCAAATGCCATATGACCTCACTCATAGGTGGAATCCTAAAGCCCCTGGAATCCCCTGAGAGACATGCCCGTTATATGCTGATGAGATGACTGGGAGCACTGGGGCCCCCAGAGCTTCAGGATGGGGGCTGGTGGCCAGGAAGACCAGGGCATGGATGGAGAGGTGGAACTTGCGGGCCCCACCCCGGACCTCCAGAGAGGTGAGAGGGGCTGGACATTGAGTGGAACCACCAATTGCCAATGATTTCATCACTCCTGCTTACATAACGAAATCTCCATTACAAACCCCAAAGCCATGGGAGTCAGTCAGCACCCCAACTCCCCAGCATAGAGGCTTCAGTGCTAGGGACCCGCCCAGACCCCGCCTACGCACCTGTGCGTTTGCATCCCAACTAATGAATCAGTAATAGGAGGAAAGCAGGGTCCTGAGTTCTAGGAGCCGTTCTAGCAAGTGATCGGATATGGAAGCCCCTGGTTATAGCCGGTCGGTCGGTCAGGAGTACAGGTGGCAACCCAGGGGCTTGCAACTGGCGTCTGAAGCAGGGGGTAGGAGGGATGGGGGTGGGGGGGTGGGGGGGGGATACTCTTGTGGGGCTGAGCCCCTCACCTGTGGGATCTGATGCTAACTCTGGGTAATTAGTGTTACAATTAAACTGAATTGTAGGACACCTTTTTTTTTAAACCCTCACCCAAGGATATTTTTTTCTATTGATTTTTTGAGAGGGTAGAAGGCAGGGAAGGGGGAAGAGAGAGAGATACATTGATGTGAGACAGACACATTGATTGTTTGCATCCTGCGTGTGTGCCAACTGGGCCTGGGGATTGAATCTGAAACAGGAGTATGCACCCTTGACTAGGAATTGAACTGGAGACCCTTTGGTGCACCGGCAGAAGCTCCAACCACTGAGCCATAATGGCCAGGGCAGGCTGCCCTTTTTAAAAAAACTGTTTTTGATGTCAGAGAGGAAGGGAGAGGGAGAGGAGAGAGAAATATCAATGATGACAGAGAATCATTGATCAGTTGCCTTCTTCATGCCCCCGCTGGGGACCGAGCCCACAACACAGGCATGTGCCCTGACAGGGAATCAAACCATGACCTCCTGGTTCATAGGTCAACACTCAACCACTGAGCCACACTGGCCAAGCAGAACGGCCATTTTAAAAAATATATATATTTTATTGATTTTTTACAGAGAGGAAGGGAGAGGGAGAGGGAAAGAGAGAAACATCTATCAGCTGCCTCCTGCACACCCCCTACTGGGGATGTGCCCACAACCAAGGTACATCGATTCCTTGACCGGAATCGAACCTGGGACCCTTCAGTCCGCAGTTCGACTGAGCCAAACCGGTTAGGGCAGGACGGCCATTTTTAACCAGAGAGCTGGAGAACTGGTTGGTGTGTAGGGGGACACCCCCACATTTGGCATCAGCAGTGTTGTGAGTAAAGCAGACCCCCCCCCCATACCACAAGCCATGGGGTGGAAGCTGAGTGTGGCTTCCACACGGTAGGAAGGCCCCGCAACTACCCCTGCGCCCAGGCAGCTGACCAAGCCCATAGCAGCCCAGGGAGGAGGCGCAGGCGCCCAGAGGCAGCTCTCAGAACACTCTGCCGTCGAACTGAAATAGCCAGACACCAGCGCACGGGAGGAAAGCCAGAGACGGCACAGGACTTCTTCAGCAACACCACACGATTTCTTGAACTTAAGAAATTCAGTTAAAGGAGAGCAGGGTCTCTACTGAGATCCAAATTAAATCCAGTGCTAGAAACGTCTCAAAACAAAGAGCAAAATGATAGAGCGATCGGAGGGAACTGATTGAAGAAAAGACTAGCCACCCTGACTGGGTGCTCAGTTGGTTAGCGCATCGTCTGGATGCACCAAGGTTGCGGGTTTGATTCCCTGGTCGGGGCACATCCAAGAGTCAACCAATGAACGCATCCACAAGTGCAACAACAAACCATGTTTCTCTTGCCTGGCTGGCGTGGCCCAGGGGTTGAGCGTGGACCTAAGAACCAGGAGGTCACAGTTCGATTCCCCATCAGGGCACATGCCTGGGTTGTGGGCTTGATCCCCAGGAGGGGCCGTGCAGGAGGCAGCTGATCAATGATTCTCTCTCATCATGGATGTTTCTATCTCCCCCTCCCTCTCCCTTCCTCTCTGAAATCAATACAAATAAGTTTTTAAAAATCCATGTTTCTCTCTCTGCCTCAAGTCAATTTAAAAAAAAATTTTTTTAAAATAAAAAAGTGTTCTAAAGTTCTCATCTTATTGGGTGAAGGAGAAGACGAGAAATGGACGGAGCAGTCGGGGTGACTGTGCGCTTAGGGGCAGGACTGTGCCTCTGCTGATCAGAGGAAGGAAATTCATCACGTAACCAAGGGGGGGAGCTCTCGCAACCAAGCCTGGGAACCCAGGAACTGGGGAAGAAAAGATGGACATATTTGACTATGTCAACATTAAAACGTTTTGTGTGACAAACGATGCCATAAATAAGGCCGGCTCAAATGGTGGCGCTGGAAAAAGATTTGTAACATAAATAACAGTCACAACTGCCGCTGAGGAACGTACTGTGCGCTGGGCACCGTGGTCTGTACATTCCAGGTACCAAGTCATGTATGTCCAGAACAAACACGACGAAGTAGGGATGGCGAGGATGAGGGTGACGGCGACGACCTATAGGTGAGCCCACGGAGGCATAACCAGCTTAATGGACTTGCTGAGGTCACATCGCGGGTCCGGGGCGGAGTTCTGAGTGACCCTTGGCCGCCGGCCCCAGAGCCAGTGCTCTCAATCACTTCTGAGCAATTCAGCCAAAGGCCAATGGACACTATATAAAGAGCTTTTACGGACTGACCTGAACAAGACAAACAACTGATACAGAAATGGACTTAGCCTATAAATAGACCATCGATAGGCAGCCACCACCAAATGGCCAGTGCACATACTAAAAGACCCTCACGTCCAACCAAAGTCAGGAAAGTGCCAATGGAAGAAGCAATGGGACCTCCCTACGCATCCATGAGTGACACGGACAAAAACAAGCGGCAACAGCAAATGCTGCCAGGAATATGGAGGAAAGGGCACGCTCGCTCACACATGTGAAGGTTTGCAGCCATTGCGGAAAGCAATCTGGCAACATCTGCTACAATTGAAACTAAACAAACCCTTTGACTCATTAATCCCACTTCTGGGAATCTGTCCCAAAGAAATAAAAGGACCACTAGTTAAGGATAAGGATATTTATTGGAGCTCATGTGTGTGTGTGTGTGTGGGGGGGGTGGCGAGGAGGGGGGAGCAACAAAGCAAATGCCCATCTAAAGAAAAAGGGGAAGATGGAATGGATTATGCTATATCCTCCTAACACACATTTTTAAAAAATATATATTTTTATTGATTTCAGAGAGGAAGGGAGAGGGAGAGAGAGAGATAGAAACATTAATGATGAACCCGGCAGGCGTGGCTCAGTGGTTGAGCATGGACCCATGAACCAGGAGGTCACGCTTTGATTCCTGGTCAGGACATATGCCCTGGTTGCAGGCTTGATCCCCAGTGTGGGGCGTGCAGGAGGCAGCCAATCAATGATTCTCTCTCATCATTGATGTTTCTGTCTCTCTCTCTCCCTCTCCCTTCCTCTCTAAATCAATTTAAAAAAATATTTTTTAAATGTGGTGGATCCATACAATGGAATATTATAAAAAGGAATGAAGTGTTGACACATCCTACAATGTAGGTGGACCTTGAAAGAATGCTAAGCAAACAAAGCCACATGAAAGGCCCCATGTTTTATGATTCCAATGATACGAAATGTTCAGAACAGGTAAATCCTGAGAGACAGAAACCAGATTAGTCCCCGGATCAGGGAAGAGGGAATGGGGCGTAACTGCTTGGTGAGTATGGGGGCTCCATTGGGGGTGATGAAACTGTTTGGAACTGGATAGAAGTGGTGGTTGCAAACATTGTGAATGGACTAAATGCCACTGAATTGTTCACTTTAAAAATGGTTCATTTGATGTCATGTAAATTGCACCTCAATATTTTTTTAAAAGGACCTTGAGGAATTTTTGCCCAAGGGTGTAATGTTTGGAGCAGCTGAGCCCCTTGGTAGTGTGAAGAGGCAAGCAGATGAAAGGATGGCGGCGCAGAAAGACGGAAAGAACGTGGCTTTTGGCGCGCTCTGGGAATGGGATCTCTGTACTTCTGATGATGCAATGTAGTAAGTAAATGCCTTCTTTTCTCACAACCATTTCTAGTGGGGTTTTCTGTTACTTGCAGCCTAATTGATATGGACTTCAAGGTTCTGTAAAAGGAAGGCAAAGACATTTCAGTTTATAAATAGCTCATGTAGAAGAATTCTCAATAGTAGTTAATTCTCAGGGTTAGACATGGTGTGTGTGTGTGTGTGTGTGTGTGTGTGTGTGTGTGTGTGTGAGGGGGGGGGGCGGTTCCCAAATGAAGCCCAGTCTCAGCCTCCCTGTTGTGTCTATAGCCAGTCTTAGGATTACAAAATCAGGGTGGACTTGCTTTAGGTGCAATACTGAAATAATTATAGGCTTGTCGGCTCTGAGAACTACAGGCAAGATGGAACCTCTGGCCACACCATTGAGAGCGTGTGTGGCTTCCCTTGGGATTCGAGAACTTCACGTTGAACACCGAGATGCCACCAAACATTGTAGAAAAGCCGCCCTTTCTCTGTGCGAGGTGTCAGTTCTCCGTGGTGGAGGTGAGCGCTTCCCTTTTCAAAGTCGGGGTGACTTTCCTGTATCACGCAGCTGTGACTGGGGGGAAGCAGAGAAAGGGTGGTTCTCTCTCCACTTCGCCTGTCCCTCACCTCTTCGTGGTTCCGGAGAGCCCTGCCTATGCGGCTCCTGCTCTACACGCACACAGAAAGGTTTCAGGAAGGGGTGATGGGGCTGGGTGGGGTTTTTTGAGGACATGTAAAGGTTAATGTTAGGGATTAGTACTTGAAGGGTTGGATTTGATCTTGCTCTCACTGTGTTTCTTGGCAGTTAGGCGTAAGTCGTTGTGTAATGTGTAAACTATGGAAATAAATGACTGAAGTCGCCTCGGTAAAAACCTGTTCCAGGGCGGATGGATGAAGGGAAACAGATCCTTTATCTGTGCTCATTAAGGTGCGATGTTTGCAGGTAAAGGGGGCAGGGAAGTGTCCGCCACGACAATGAGCGGAGGTTGGTTCCTCTGAGACTCTCTTGGGGCTGTGGAATGGCATTCCTCTCTTGTCTTCACATCTTGGTGGTGGTTTTTTCCACTCAGCTGGGAATTCAGAATAGTCAATGGGTCTTGTCTAGAAAGAGGTGAGCTGTTTATCCCAGAAGACTTGACTCGCCTGGAATGTGAGGTATTTCCAAAACAATGAGTAAATGGGCTAAAATAAAAGAAGAAACAAAATGCAAAACCCTGCTGACTTTCAGAGGCCCCGGGGATGAGGACACTGAGTGAAGTCTAACCCAGGCCAACCGCCTGGCGGGGGGGCGCGGGCCCTGCTGGGGGCCAGCTGCAAGGAAAGGAAGAGGAAAGAGGCATAAAACCTTGTTCTCTGAGATTTTTCCCTCCAGCTACTCTATGTACTTTGAAATCTGTTACTTCCTTAGCTTTTCTATAGACTCAAGGGGATAATTAAAATACACAAGAGATTGGGCCCTCGCTGGTTTGGCTCAGTGGATAGAGTGTTGGCCTGTGGACTGAGGGTCCCAGTTTCGATTCCAGTCAAGGGCATGTACCCCAGCCCCCAGTCGGGGCAGGTTTGGCAACCAGTCAATGTGTCTCTCTCACATAGATGTTTCTCTCTCTCTCCCTCCCTCCCTTAAAAAAAAAAAAGCAACCAATGAATGCAAAAATAAGTGAAGCAACAAACCGATGTTTCTCTCTTCACCCCCCTAAAACCAACCAATCAATCAATCATTCAATCAATCAAGAGAGAGAGAAGCACCAGCAAATGCTTTCATATCATTTGATGAGGAAAGTTTTCCTAGATATTCTGGCTCCATGTGACCAAAACATCAACTACAGGACTTGTGACATTACGGGTTGAGGACGAGGGGAAGAAATTTTGTAAATTACCACTTCTCCTTTTGAGTTATGAAATATAGTATGGGTTATGAGTAATATATCCTTTTGAGACTTAAATAAGAACCAAATCTATATTTAAAACATTGGGGGGGAAATGAGTTGGCAACCTTGGTTTTGTGATAATGCGATAATTCGATTCCTCCTGGTTTATTGCACGATCTCTTTTAATACTGTACAAAGACTATCCTAATGCTTCATACGTATACGCATAGCCATATAAATGAGAGAGTCTCTTAAGCAGTTTAAGGAATTTGGATATTGAGTAAATATAATATAAAGAATGAATGGGTGCCCTGGCCTGTGTGCTCAGTGGTTAGAGCATTGGCCCGTGGACTGAAGGGTCTCGGGTTCGATTATTAGTCAATGGCATGTACCTGGGTTGCAGATTTGATCTCCAGCCTCCAGTTGGACAGGTGTAGGAGGCAACCAATCAATGTGTCTCTCTTACATCAATGTGTGTTTTTTTCTGTCTTCCCCTCCCTCCCTTCCACACTCTCTAAAATCAATGGAAAAAATATCCTCGGGTGAGGATTAACAACAAAACAAAAAACAAAAAGAATACTGTAAGGTTTCCCATAAGAATGGGTAGAATTAAAAGAATTGACATCCTGGCTGGTGTAGCTCAGTGGTTGTGTGCCAACCCATGAACCAGGAGGTCATGGTTTGATTCCCAGTCAGGGCACAAGCCAGGGTTGCAGCCTGATCCCCAGTGGAGGGCGTGCAGGAGGCAGTGATGATTCTCTCTCATCATTGATATCATTGATGTTTCCCTCTCTTTCTCCCTCTCCCTTCCTCTCTGAAACCAGTAAAAACATATTTTAAAAAAATGAACTGCTACACAAAATAGCATAGATGAATCTTTCATTATTTATTTATTTATTCTTTTATATTTAGATTTTTAATGTTATGTATGTAATCTGACCACATTTATGATGTTCCCCAAATTTGTGTTTGATTTAAATGAAAAAACATCTCATTACTCATTTAATTGCTTTTTTTAAAAAAATATATTTTATTGATGTTTTACAGAGAGGAAGGGAGATCGATAGAGAGTTAGAAACATCGATGAGAGAGAAACATCAATCAGCTGCCTCCTGCACATCTCCTACTGGGGATGTGCCCGCAACCCAGGTACATGCCCTTGACCAGAATCGAACCTGGGACCTTTCAGTCCGCAGGCCGACACTCTATCCACTGAACCAAACCGGTTTCGGCTTAATTGCTTTTTTAATGATGAGCAGTCAATAGTTGAATACTCATAGATGAATCTTTTAATGTTGAGTAATGAATTCAGACTCTAGGTCAGCCCATTTATAGAAAGTTAAAAACCATGGAAAATGTAATAATCTATGATGATAAAGGTCGCAAAAGTGGTTACCTTTGGAGAGAGTATGCTCCAAGGAAGGGGTACGAGGTAAGTCGTCTGGGGTCCTAGAATGTTCTAGATTTTGATAAGGATCATTATTATACAGCAGCATAAGCATGAAAAGGTACCCACTGGTCTAAGGTACCTATGACACCAGCATCCACTAAAAAAGAACCTGGTGGCTTCCCCAACCGGATAGACATAATCACCAAAATTAGTCTTTTTCTCTTACTCAAAAACATGTCAAAAACTGCTCAAGGGAGGCATCCAATGTGTTTACAATAAACATAGCTTCCAAATCTCTGGGCCCCCGAGAAGCCGTACAAAAAAGACTGCATATCCTACTAATACAATTCTCTCCTCTAAGTAGTCACAGGCATGGACATCTAGCCACCTCATTCAAAACAAGAGATGATGAAATGCGTGAGTCATGAAAATTAAATATAGTGCCTTCACTTATTTTGGTGTTGCTCACTTCCCCTTTTGTCTGTGTGTAAGGAGGTGCTGTCAATAGTTCATGGGATCATGACACATTCAAGGAAAATATTTCACCCTGATCACGCGTAGTCAAAATCCCCCTAGCTCATACATATTTGTTAAGAGCCTAGTATGTGAGGTGCTGTTCCAGGAACTGGGGACAAAATGATGAATAGTGATGTAATCAACAAGTCAGCAAAGATAACTTTGGGTGGTATTGCAAAGGAGTGTCAATGTCATAGCAAGTTGGTTGGGCTGGTTGGGAAGGCTGGTCAGGGGAAGGGGGAGCGGCAGGCACTGAGGTTAGAGAGACGGGCGGGGCAGGCTCATGCAGGACATCCTAAGCCACAGCACACATGGGCAGGTAGCAGAGTTGTCAAGGGCCAGCTTTTAAACACAGTGCTTTTTAAAAAAAGGGACCCTCCATAGGGAATACCTTTTTGGAGGTCCACCGAGAGAAGGGCCTTTTTAATATTTCATCTTCTTAGGACACATCCTGTTTCTAATTGGAACAAGGGGGCCCATGGGCCTTAGCCGGCAGTTTGGGTTTTATGCCAAGTGAAATGGGGAGCCAATGAAAAGTGTGAGGTCAGGCATTGAGGATATTTGGCTTATCTCTTTTTATATCTATAATACTAAAAGGGTAATATGCAAATTAGACTGGATATCATTCCAGATGTCCTTCTGGACGAAAGCCAGGGCTGGAGGGAAGCACAGGTCCTGGGTGCCAGAGGGAAGGTGGTGCCGGCAGCTGGGGGAAGGAACGCCTACTCTCTCTCTCTCTCATTATTTCAGAGAGGAAGTGAGAGGGAGAGAGAGATAGAAACATCAATGATGAGAGAGAATCATTGATTGGCTGCCTCTGGCACACGCCTCTACTGGGGATTGAGTCTGTAACCTGGGCATGTGCCCTTGGCCAGAATCAAACCTTTGACTCTTCAGTCCACAGGCCAACACTCTATCCACTGAGCCAAACCGGCTAAGGCAGGAAGGCCTACTCTTGCATGAATTTTGTGCACCGGGCCTCTAGTATATATATTGATTTCAGAGAAGAAGGAAGAGGGAGAGAGATAGAAACATCAATGATGAGAGAAGACACATTGACTGGTTGCCTCCTGCATGCACCCAAACCAGGGCTGGCGGTCAAGCCTGCAATCGAGGTAAGCGCCTTTGACTGGAATCAAACCTGGGACCCTTCAGTCCACAGGCCGATGCTCTATCCACTGAGCCAAACCGGCTAGGCTGGCTTATGTATTAAAAATATATTTCGGCAATAGTATGGAGACAAGAGTGGAATAATTTAGAAAAATGATCATAGCTAATAAAAATGGTGTAATAAATATAACAATAGATCTGGCTAATTGTATATATGAACTTCAAATGACCTTATCTTAAAATAAATTCAAATATATTATTTTTCAAAAAATTACTTCTCACCCAGCCAGTGTGGTTAAGTGGTTGAGTGTTGACCTATGAACCCAGAGGTTGTGGATTCCTGGTCAGGGCACATGCCCTGGTTGTGGGATTGATCCCTGGTGGGGGGTGTGCAGGAGGCAGCCGATTGATGATTTTCATCATTGATGGTTTTCTCTCTCCCTCTCCCTCCCTCTCTGAAATCAATTTCAAAGCATTTTTTTTAAAATTACTTCTCTGGCATACCAGAAGCTAACTCTTTACCTATGACAAGGGTGGGGAACACCTGGCCCGCAGGCCATCTAAGGCCGTGAAATCATTTGGTCTGGTCCTGCCAAGGCATTAGCGGTGAGTTAATTAAATGTTTGACCATATATAGCAGGCTAATTTTTTTTGTTAGTTGTTAATTATTTTTAAATAGTTCTTTATTGTTGAAAGTATTACATGTCTCCTTTTTTCCCCCCATTGACCCCTTTCAGCCCACCCCCGCCCCCCACCCCAGGACCTCACTGCCCCATTGTCTGTGTCCATGGGCCATGCATATATGCATACAAGGTCCTTGGTTGACTAGCAGGCTAATTTTTAAGCTGATAATTTTGCATGGCCCCCAAATGATGTTATATCCAAGTGGCCCTTGGCAGAAAAAAGGTTCCCCACCCCTGCCCTGAGGTCTGTATTCTGAGCAAGCACACGGGTGTTAGGACTGGAAAAGAACCATTTTGGCTGAGCTTGAGACGGTTTGGCAGGCGGCTCATTTCCATTTGTGACGGTCTAGTGCCACCCCTTGACCCTTCCATTCCTTGCACATTTATGCCCAAGGATACAACTATGGGCTCTGCTTGCAATGTCAGCCTCACATTTACTATTCTTAAGGTTCAATTACGTAAACATCAAAGAAATACAATCCTAAATAGTGAGACACCACTGTTACCCAGCAAATCAACAAAAAGATTTTAAAATTTTTAAAAACTTCTATTGATTTCAGAGAGGAAGGGAAAGAGAGAGGTAGAAACATCAATGATGAGAGAAAAATCATTGATCACGCTGTACACAGAGGATGCGCCCACCACCTGGGCATGTGCCCTGACCAAGAATCGAACCGTGACCTTCTGGTTCATAGGTCAATGCTCAATTACTGAGCCAAGCCGGCCGGGCAGCAAAAAGTTTTTAAAAGTAAGATCGCTTCGCATTGGAGAGGATGGGTGCAGGACAGCGGACATTTGCCAAGGCCTCTTGACATGCACGCAGTGGCAGTTTGCATCTAGAGCAGTGATGGCGAACCTGTGACACGCGTGTCAGAGGTGACACGCGAACTCATTTTTTTGGTTGATTTTTCTTTGTTAAATGGCATTTAAATATATAAAATAAATATCAAAAATGTAATCTTTGTTTTACTATGGTTGCAAATATCAAAAAATTTCTGTATGTGACACAGCACCAGAGTTAAGTTAGGGTTTTTCAAAATGCTGACACGCTGAGCTCAAAGGTTCCCATCACTGATCTAGAGCCTTAAAAATGGTCTTCATGTCCTTTGATCTGGTAAACATGCTCCTGGGAATGTACCTTAAGGAAATCATTGCAAGTGTGGGAAAGCTTTGCGGGAAATAGTGGTGCAGTCTATGCATGTCTGGGAGAGAGCAGGTGAACGGCCACTTACACCGCCTGCAACTAGGAGGCTTTACGAGTGGGGCATCGGGCTTTGGGAAATTCTGTAACTTGCCAGGGTTCACACAGCTGGTACAGGATAGCACCATATTCAAATCCAGACGTGTTTTATTCCAAAACCCATGCTTTCAATCATGATGCTGACATAGAAACAAGTATTTTATCAACTGGCACAAAAAGGCCAACCAATTCTCGTACCATCAAGTTATTCACAAGCGTAGCAACAGATGACGAAGGCGGAATAAGAGCTACGATTATTTTTGTGCCCGGCCGTGTCTGCTGGCTTTCGGCACCACGCTGCCCTTCTGGGCCATCCTCCTACTTGGCGCTTACAGCCTGCACACGCCACGCCCCACACTCCCGGCCAGACGGCTTCCTGCTCTGTACCGTCGTTTCTTGGCACTGGCACGAGATCAGAGGTTGGTGAAAGCACAGAGGTACTTCCCTTCAGTAGTGGCTTGGCAGAGGCAGCCACAGTGGAGGATGCCCGAGGAGGGCTGCGGGCTGCGGCGGTGATGCCGCAGCAGTACTGGAGGAGGCGACTCAGCCTCCGAGTGGAGCAGCGGGCTCCACCAGCTCCGTGGAGAATGGGGGCTGGAGGCTCCAACACAGGGGCAGGAAGGGGCAGCTCCCTGACCTTCGACTAATAGCCCTTTCCCTTGTGCCTCCCAAGTGGCCTCCCTCCATCCCCCTTTTGGCCTTTTGGTTCTTTTAACAACTTTGGAACCAATTTCTGGCATTCAATCCATCTCCACTTGAATTATCTGGAGTGTTTTCTATTTTCCTGTCTGGCCACGAACTGACATACTCTGCATCTGCAGCAAAAATTATATACTTAAAAAAAAATCCTCACCCGAGGATAGTTTTCCATTGATTTTTTAGAGAGAGGGAAAGACAGAGAGAAATAACAACGTGAAAGAAACACATAGATTGGCTGCCTCCTGCACGTGCCCTGACCAGGGCCCGGGTTGGGGAGGAGCTTGCAATTGAGGTACCTGCCCTTGACCCCTTGACTGGAATCAGACCTGGGACCCCTTGGCTATCCACTGAGCTAAACTGGCTAAGGCAAAAAATTATATACATGTTTACTAGAATAACATTAGTTAGAATGACATTCTGGCCTGGCTGGTGTGCCTCAGTGGTTGAGTGTCCACCTATGAACCAGGTCAGGGCTCATGCCCAGGTTGCAGGCTTGCCCCCCAGTAGGGGGCCTGCAGCAGGCAGCTGATGGATGATTCTCTCTCATCACTGATGTTTCTCTCTCTCCTCTCTTCCTCTCTGAAAAAAAAAAAAAATACTGACATTCTTATTTTTATATGAGGAAGAAATAGGCTATAAGTACTTGCTTTTCTTCTGCAGGGAGCAAAATATCTTTGCATTTTTATTTCCTTCATATATGGTAAGAAAAATTGTCTAAGTTATACAAGTAACTTGGCAAATAAAAGATTTATTAACTCAGGATATAACTTTTTTATGGGACAAACTACCAAGTGTCTTAGCATCACTTGTCAGATATTTGACAGCAGCTATAACACAGAGATTGCACAATTTTAACAACCGTAATAAATATGGTCAGTTGATAGCGGGCTCCAAACTTCCTCTGGCTCTTCCTGAGAAAGGTTTGATGACTGACTATGATCCATTAAGAAACATCTAAATGGGAAGAAACACAGAAGTATTTTTATGAGTGTCATTTAGGTGTTGTTTTTTTTTAAATAGAAAATGCTCAGATAAACTAAAGAACTTAAGGTTTAACTGTATTGCTAAAAATCAACACATAACATTCTTGAGCAGTTCAGATGAATAGGACTATAGAAAAACCTATTTTTAAGGGCCACAAATTCATCTCCTAAATTCATTTTCTCCCTTTTTGAAAAAAGCAATTTTATGCCACTGAGCACAACAGACTTGGAAGTTATTAATGAAAGTTAAGAACACGTCGGCTTATTTTAATATGTCTATTTTGGACCAAAGGACAGAAAACCCCCCACAATATTTAGGTTTACTAAAACTACTAATTCATGATCAGAATAAAAATATTTACCTTGTATTTAAATTCAAAAGAGAAGCAGAAGTAATTTACATGCATATTTTATATATAAAGACATTGGGAAGAATATATACCAAAATGTTAACAGTGATACTCTCTCTTGGTAGTGAGATTTCAAGAGATTAAGAACTTTGTTTTTTTTGCTCTTGCAAATTTCTCTTTTTTCCTTAGGGAACACTTATGTCTTAGGTAACTAAAAAAGGAGAAGTAAAAGCAATTGATACTCAAGCACCACATTAACCAAGGCCTTTGGAAATGTAGTGTCTCACTTGCTTCAGTTTGAAAAGCAAGACTTTAGGAGGAAGCTGGAGAGCAGGCGGCCCAGGTGTACAGCCAGAGCTGGCCCAGGGTCAGTGACTGGCTAGAGGCCACATGGCCGCTTGGTGCAGAGCTCAGAGGAGAGCCATGGCCTCTTCATTGCTGGCCTGGGACTCTCTTATAAAAAAAGTAAAATATAAAAAATATATGCAGTCACATGTGAAAACACAGTGATCTCCAGAACAAGTCTGGCTCAATGTCAAGACCCTGGAAATAGAAATGGCGTCAGGCTGGTGAGAGTGCAGGTAACTGCGGGCAGCTTTACCTTCAGAATCTCACAGGGCGCGGCGTCTGCGGGCACGGGGTTCCCACGGTGCTTTGAGTACTCACTTATAAAGACGGACGCTTCATCTACGCTACAGCATCAGAGAGAAAAAGAAGGGCACGAGGAAAGCTTTGGGGGTGGGAACTATGCTCGCTAACGGGATTGTGGTGAGGGCGTCACCGGTGTAGACATATGTCAAAACTCATCCGATTGCATGTCTGAAATACGTGCAGCCGGCTCTATACAGATCACGCATCAAAAATAACGCTCGCTCACAAATGACAGCAAGTGATTATGGTTGGACCCCAGCGATACACAAGCAGAAAGAGATCCGTGCTGTGGTCAGGAGAGAGGCACGCCTCCCATGTGATCAGCACAGCTAGGCGGAGGGAGGGATAGGCCCAGGAGGCATGTTAATCCCTTGCCTTTCTTCAGGGTCACCCCGTTTCTTCTCTCTCCTTTTCACTTTACAGATCTGCTCCCAACCTTATCCCAGGAGAAGCTTGTTGTTTCCAAACTTGTGGATGCTGGAAAATTAGATAACCAAGCTTGGCCAACATTATGATACATGAGCCATCGACTCTGAGCAAACGCTAAGAACTAAAGCGGTCATGCAGGGTTTCAGAGCGGAGCTGAGAGACACCTACTTTGGAGGCTCAGGCAGCTTGTTTGTCTGATTCCCAGTGCATGTTCCAAGGGATGGGCTACAAGACAATTGACTTCTGGGTACGGGTAGTAACGCCACAAGGTAACGTTTGGAGCCTTGAGTTACAACCAAACAGCTCTATAATTGTTTGATGTTTTCCTCCAAATTAAAGATACAATTAAGGACATTCTATGGTAAGCTTTGTTTTTTTTTTAATTGACTTACCTTACTTCATTTGCCAAATAGTTTACCAGGTCAGTGATGTTGTTGGTGTTTATCAGGTGCAGTTTCAACACTTGAAAGTATTTTGTCTTTGCCAAAATCCCAAACTCCTTCTTATTTCTGATATTATTCAGGACCAGATTTTGAATCTATAGAATGACAGGTATCGTCATATTAACAACGTGTTAAATGCCAAGTCCTAGTTAATTCTGAAACATTTCTGACAAGCAGGAGTGAGACTGTCATCGTGATGTAACGCACTCCTTTGTGAGGGGGTGGGCCGGGGGGACGGGGACTGCGTTGGCCCATTTCAGTACTATATACAATAAATAAGTAGGAAGTAATTGTGGTTAAGCACTTTGGGACTTTTAAAAAAGCACAGCAATAAACAAGATAGCCAGGGTCCCTGCTATTAAAAAAATGTATAGGTTTTAATAAAAGCAAATGAATAGTATGTATTAATGAAAAGATTGAGACAGTAATTTTTCGCTTCATCCAGGTTTCAGGAAAATGATTACCTTCTAATACCTAATTTTTCATAACAAAAAGGAGATGAAATTTTCTCTTACTTGATGTGAAAACCCTGCCAGCTGGCCAGTACTCATATGCTCCTCCAATTGCTGTAAAATGACCTGAGGGCTGCACGAGTTCAGAAAGGTCTAGAGAAACAAATCAAAACATAGTTGACGGAAAAGCATAATTACTACTCATGTCTGTCCAATCTGTAAAGTATTCCCTTTTTAAATTTGAAATATCTTAAAGGATTTCTATTATAGGAAAAAATGTCTCTGTCAACCAAAAATTATTGAAATAAGGTAAGAAGCATTTTACAAAAATGCCCATTCCAACCGTAAGAGCTGTTTAATAATAGGCATGTTGTCATTCTAAGTGCCAAAAGGAATCTATTTAAATACTAGCACTCAGAAGAGCAGCAACAGATGAGGTTATGAATAGTCAGGAAAGCACACAGTCAAAGATAAGCACAGACGGCTTTGAAAAAAATAAAACGATCAGAACAAACAACAAATGAAACATTTCCAGATGCTTTGTTCTACTTGTTCTGTGTTACAGCGGGAATGAGAGTTTTTTTGTTTGGTTTGGTTTGTCCTCACCTGAGGATATTTTTCCATTGATTTTTTAGAGAGAGTGGAAGGGAGGGGGAGAGACAGAGAGAGAAACAGTGATGTGAGAGACACACTGACTGGTTGCCTGCCGCACACTCCCCGAACCAGGCCAGACAGAGATTGAATCTGCAACTGAAGTACATGCCCTTGAATGGAATCGAACCTGGGACCCTACAGTCCGAGGGCCGGTGGTCTAACCACTGAGAAAATGGCAAAAGTTATTTTTTTTTTTTTAAGTTTTGTCCTTAGAGTCCTTGCGGCTCCCTTTGTGGCACCCACACACAGACCTGACTCTCCGCTCTCTTCTACCTCCCTCCTCCAATCACAAAGCCAAGCTGCCCTCCTGGTAGTCTTCTCCTCCAGTTCATTTTCATTCATGGCTACCACCTACTTTGGGGATTGATCCCCTCACGCTTTCCTGGCCTCTCCACAAGGTTGCTGCGCATGGATTTAGCGAGATACTAGCTTCCCCAGAGTTTCATTTCTTTTTTTCCCTTTTCTTTATTGATTAAGGTATTACATATGTGTCCTTATCCCCCATTGCCCACTCACCCTCCTAGAGTTTCATTTCTTGACACCTCTTTCCTCCAGTCAAGCTGAAATGGATTATTCCTTCTGAAGTATTTCACTTTACTCTTCTGGGAAAACTGACTGTTCCCTACTGACAAAGATGCACTCTTAAGACTTCCCTCAGACTAGCCTCCATCTAGCTTCCAGTCTTACCTTCCACTAACCCCCCACCCCTACCCCCACCCCACAATCCTGCCCTGTCCACACTGATGTGCCCCTGCTCTGCTGGTTTGGTGAAAAGAACACGCAACCTTTCTCGGGGACATGCAGTTCTAAGACCTTCCATTTCTTTGGCAGCCCCAGAGCATACTTTCCCGGATACCTTGATATGCTGGTGTCTTTTCTCTGAGTGGGGCAGGAGCATGAGACAGGCTAACGCAAAAGCTGGAAGCTCTAACTGGACATACTGCCTGGCGACTCCAACCATGTCGAGATCATCCGAAACGGGACATCTTGGAGAGAGCGCACGATTAGTCACGAGATGACACTGTCCGAGTCCCTTGTTTCTAGTGTTCCCCACTTGTTACTTGCCTATGCTTTCAGTAATCTTAAGACACTGAAGTGCTGTGCATAACACCTGCTTAGCAGCGAGCAACTCATGTCTGCTATGGCGTTCTTCCTGCAGTCAAAGGATCTACCCACAGGAATGCAGACCACTGGCTGCTGCTATGATTATGTCTGAAAGCCTCCACATAAAGACAAACATCCTATGAGACAACACTGTGTCTGTCACTCAGGGTAGTCACAAACGGTACTCTATACTCACACTGAAACTGGGGACCAATAGCATATCCGGTTACCAGTGGTACCACACATGGAAAGTAGATATTATAAAAATAAGAGATATTTAATTTAAAAGCAAGTGGTATGTTTACCTTCCCAAGAAAAAGAAACTACCCCGTAACAGATATCTATTAAAAAGGAATTTCACAAGCAATAAATGGGATTTTTTTTTTTTTTTTGGTAGGAAAACAAATATTTCACTTACTCGAGAATAGCAATGAGACTCTCACAACAATCTGATAACTGGCTGGGGCTTAAAGGACAAGAGGCTGAAAATAAACAAACAAAAAAATGTAGACACATGCACAACCACAAAACGCGACCCTCCATGGCCCAGAGGAGGGGACATTACCTGAAAGCAGCGGGACCTGGACCACACGCTGCCAGGCCTTGCTGAAGTAGGGCACCTGTGGGAACACGTGTGTCAGAACGCACGCCTGGGCTAGCAGAGGCTACTGGGCAGTCACAACACGCACACCCCGAGCTCACATGCTGGATGCTCAACCAAAGTCCTCAACTGATACCTCTGTGTTTGAGGTGATTAGACTGTAGGATAATTTTTCAGCAGCCCTGGCCGGGTAGCTTAGTTACAACAAATTAACATTTCTCTCTCAAAAGCAAGCAAACAAACAAAAAAACCCCAAAACCCTACTTAGTTGTACATTTAAAAGGGTGAATTTTACATGTGAATTATAAATTTTTTTTTATTGTTAATTCTCACTTGAGGATATTTTTCCATTGCTTTTTAGAGAGAGTGGAAGGGAGGGGGAGAGGCAGAGAGAGAGCAACATCAATGTGAGAGACACATTGATTGGTTGCTTCCTGCATGTGCCTTGACCAGGGCCAGGGACCAAGCCTGCAACCGAGGTACGTGCCCTTGACTGGTATTGAACCCGGCACCCTTCAGCCCGTGGTCTGAGGCTCTATCCACTAAGCCAAACTGGCTAGTGTGTGTGTGTGTGTGTGTGTGTGTGTGTATCTTAATTAAAAAAAAAATGAGATCTATATGTGTTGATATGTAACAATCTGGACGACACCAATGCATTATATATTTTTATGTGATAATGATGATGTGGGTGCACAACTTATGAAATTTAGAAAAAAATGACGTGGTCTCTGACTTTAAAGATCTTCAAAGTCCACGAGGGGTGGTCGAACGTGTAATTAGGGTAAATGGTGCTCTGACAACCATCACAGGTGAGTCAGCGCTTTGAGGTGTGACGCACGGGGCCTGGAGAACTGGGGACAGTGAGGTCCTGGAGGAGGTGACATCGGAGCTGAGTGTTCCGAGTGTGAGCACCACTGTCAGGAACATCCTCCCACAGCAGATCAGCTCTGTCCTTTATTAAGGAGACAATCACTAACCGGGCGTGCCCAGGAGTCACCAGGCCAGAGAGTATAGAGATTAAATTCTATAAAACTTACTTAAAAAAAAAATTACATACCTGCCACAAAGAATGGATGCTAGAAATGGCTGTTAAAACTTTCCTTAGATAAGGAATCTGTGGGAAAATAAACAAAAAACAAAATGTTCCAAAGATCACCAAAACAGAAAATTTCCACATGAGATACCGGATTCTTTCAAAGGGAGTATCAGTCAAATTCATCTTCCCTGAGAACCGCCGGAGCAGTGCGCTTACACATCCACGAACATCAAACCAGGCCAGGGAGCCCCCCCTCCCTGTTTCCTGGGAGATCTGCATCATTCTGAGTCTGCACTTTCCCTGGCCTCACAGGAAGTCCTGAGCCAGGGAGGGTGACGTTTGCAGCATGCATCCGTTCAGTAGCGAGCACCGCCGGCAGCGGCTGAAGCGCCGCCGGGCCAGAGCTGGAAACGACACTGCAGGGGAGGGCACCAAGTCTTACCATGTTGAAGCCAAGAAGCTTTTGCAAGAGTCCGTTCCACAGCTGCAGGTCATAGATTTTGTATTCTAAACAAAGCTCAGTCACCAGTCTCACTGCCTACAGGAGAGAGAAAAGTCGTACTGCTCTCCGGCACCTGATAATCAAACCACCTCTGCCAAAGGCATCCGACCCACCTGGGCTCCGGCTGCCTCGGACACTAACTTCCCACAGACAACGAGGAGGAGGTGAAGCTCTACCCCCTCCTACCCAGGGCCATCTCTTCTCTCGTCCAGACGAGGAGAGACAGGCCTGGGGAAGGACGCTTTCTCGTGAGGGGGATGGCCTTGGCCTTCAGGAAGAGAGGTAAGACGCCCAAGTCGCCCCGTCACCCGCCAGGACAGGACAGAAGAAAAGCTCTCCCAGCGGCAGACTGGCCCGGGAATAGTTCCTCTGGTTTTGTCTTTCAGGAAGCTGAGGTGACGGGTGACTCGGTGTACATACCATGGACTCGTGGCTGTGGTTTTTCCACAGACCCTTAATCATGCCTTCCTTAGGACTGTTGCAAAATAATTCATAGGTGATGGGGATATTCAACATCTCAAAAGACGCCAGGAAAGTTATACATTTCAAGTAAGACCTGGAA